AGTCTTTTTGATGAGGAAATAGCAAAGGTAGAAATAGTGGTTCAGGAAGATAAATATGGAGAAAGAACCATCTGAGCTACATTGGGGCAGGGGAAATAGGAGGCAAAGAGATGACAAGTTATCTGGGAGCAATGTGATGAAGGCTCTGACAATTTCCAACTTTGGGTGAGAAAAGAGAGAAACTATCATTTTTGGTGACTTTCTGTGAATCAAGCACAATGCTGGCATTCTTTACACTCATTATCTCATGTATTCTGCACTTTAAGTCTGCGAGAGAAATATATTGTTCCCGTTTTATAGGTGAGGAAATTTATATATATAATTGCATTTTAGGTTTTGGGGTACATGTAGAGAACATGTAGGATTGTTGTATAGGTATATACACAGCAATGTGGTTTGCTGCCTCCATCCCTATCACCTATATCTGGCATTTCTCCCCAACTCCCTACCCCCACTGACCCTCCCCTCGTCCCCCCACTCCCTGCAGACCTCAGTGTGTGATGCTCCCCAGGTGAGAAAACTTAAAATCCAGAGAGAAAAGGAACTGTAGTTGCATGGTATGGATGACAGAGACGGGATTCACTCCGGAACGATCTGATTACAAAATGCCCACTTGCACCAGCTGATACACAAGTGACTTTTTTAAAATGGAGGAAAGGGGTGAATGGGATAAGGAGGGGTCTGTATGTCTGCATGCCTCTGCTTTTCATGGGCTTAAGGAATCAGCCTGGACTGAGGCCTGCCTCATATGCCCTGCCTTCACTCAACAGAACTGGGAAGCCATCAGACTGGAGGCTCTTATCCCCAGGACGCCTCCCTAACACTGGGGAAATAATGTTTTTAAACGTTTTTTAAAATAGTAATGATCTAAAGCTATCTGTCTAATAGGTGTATTGATTGTTCAGGGTTCTTAAATCAGGACATATCTCGTGGAACCTTAGATTACAGCTGGTTTGGGGGGAAAAATGACTCAGATAAAATAAGAAATGCATACTCAAAAAATAATCCAACATTTCCATGAAAAGCCAATAAGTTTTGGGGTGCTGGTAATGGGTTTTGTTTTGTTTCGTTTTAATCTGGGTGCTACTCATAGAGTGTGTTCATGGAGATTTATACTTATTAAATGTGCTCTATTCCACATGTATAGTATGCTTCAACAAAGTTTTTAAACTGCCAGAACAAAGCAATATTTTATCCCTGCCCTGTTCCAGTGTAAACTGGCCTTTTATAAATAAGCAATAAAGCAGGCAAAGTTTCAATATGGAGATACAAGCAGTAAGACTCCTCTCTCCTAATGGAGATCCACTAAGAGAAGCACTCTACTCATAAACAGAAGGCTGTTGCCTTGGAAACAGGAGCTGTAACTACTGCAGTCACACCTCGGGAGCAAAGATGGCCAAGATCTATTTCAATTCTTAGATGCCTCGAGGAACTGCAGATGACTGTAACTATGGAAGATAGCCAATCTGTAGTAATGAAGAAGTGCATGCCGGAGTTAGAAAGGCTGCAATTGAGAAAGGAAAAGAGGGGGCAGGGTAGGAAGGAGAAGACAGGATTTAAGTATAACAAGTAAAGCCCAATCCAAGAACTGCAGAGCTGAGGGGCTCCTGGTGGCATTTCTTTAAGCCATGCCACCCTCTAGTTTATTGACTACATACTATCTGCCAAACCATGCTAGGTGCTGGGAGGACCAAGTCAGGGGAAGACACATTCAAAATGGCCCATGGGAGGTATGAGTGCCCTGGGACCAATTAACCTCAGTGTGCAAAATGGGCACAGGAGTCTTCAGAGAGAAGGTGGCATTTTTAACCTGGAACTCAAAGAACATGTAGGAGTTCCCCAGGCACAGAAAACTGAGAGAGACATCTCAGACAAAGGGAGGTACAAAGGACAGAGGCATGACACAGCACGTTCTGTTTTTCAGCAGGGTAGCTACCTGCAATTCTAGGTAGAACACTTCCATGTCTGGTAGATTATCCCACACACTGCAGGACATTTGCCATCTCAGACCCCAACCACTCATTGCTGGCAGCAACTCCCAATCATGACAACAACTAAAGTAACGCCCCTCTCACATTTCCGAATGTCCTCAAGGATGGGGTGATGCTATTGCTCCCAGTTACGAAGTCCGAGAACCTGGGGGAACAGATCTGTGGCTGGAGCAGGGGTTGGGGAGATAGGGGTGGGAGGTGAGGATGAGAATGCAGGTGAGGATCGGAGTTCAGGCCTTGCACATCCCACTCAGGAGTCAGACTCTGTGCCAGACATGGAGGAGAGAGAACAGACTCTAAAGCAATTATGTAGGAGGCCAAGCCGACAAGACTTGGCAACTCATGGGATCTGAGGAGGTGGGGAAGAAGAAAGAATGAAAGAATAAAGAATAATCCCTGCAGTTTTCAGCTTGGACAACTGAGTAAACATTAGTGGCACCCAGCAAAGTGATGAATATAGAAGTAAGAGCAGCTTTGGAGGGGGATGGAAAGGTGAGGCAGAAAATGAGTCTGGGACATACAGGTGGAATTTTTAAGAAGTAATAAATAGCAGAGTGGGCCCTCAGCAGACACTGAATCTGCTGGTGCCATGATCTTGAACACTCCTTGACCCAGAGGAGAGACAGCTGGGTCAAAGGTAAAAGAAGCCTTAGCATTTAACTATAGGCGGTGTCTGAGCCATTTCTCAAGGGCCTTCAGACTCGTTAAGCAGTCCAGGGAAAGGGGGAGCTGGAGACAAGGAAGTGGTGGCACTGGAGCTGGGCATAACCAACCAGGAGCCAATATGGCAGAAAATGGGCACCGGCAGGCAGGAACGAAGGGAGCAGAGCCGGCTAGCAAGGCACAGGTGAGCAGACCAAGCAGGAGTGGCTGAAAGGTCACGGTACTCCACACTGGTGTCCACAGCCATCCTTCCTATAGATCTTGGCACACATCACTACAGTGGCTTTAGAAAATAATCTTCCATCTCAACCCAGGTCATACACATACATATATATCAGGGCAGGCTCCATGGGCGAGCAGGTTGTGCAGCTGCCCACGCCCCGTGTGGAGAAGAGCCCCATTCTTGGTTAAACACTCTGCTACTGCCATCTTGAAATTCTTAAGAATTTTTTAACAAGGAGTACCACGTTTTCATGTTGTGCTAGATCCGACAAATTATGAGGCTGGTCTAGATACACACAAAAAGAGCCTTAACAAAAGTTTCAAGAAACAGTATCTACCTGCTATAGTCTGAATGTTTGTGTTTGCCTCTCAAAATCTGTATGTTAAAGCTTAATTCCCAATACAGTTAAGAGGTGGGGCCTTTAGAATGGGATTAGTGCCCTCATAAAAGAGGCCTGAGGCAGCTTGTTCCTTGCACCATGTAAGGACTGTGTAAGAAGGCACCACCTATGATGCAGTAAGTGGCCCCTCAGCAGACATTGAATCTGCTGGTGCCATGATCTTGAACTTTCCAACTAACAGAACTGTGAGCAATAAATTTCTGTTATTTATAATTTACCCAGTCTAAGGTATTTTGTTACAGAATTCTGAATAAACTGACATTCTTACCAAATGTGATATAAAATCATATTCTCTATTTTTTAACGTAGCCGGAGCCCATTAAATTCACAATCCACTAATGCATTGCAAGTCAGTTTTTTTGTTGGTTGCTTTGTTTTTGAGATAGGGTCTTGCCCTGTTGCCCAGGCTGGAGCGCAGCCTCAACCTCCTGGGCTCAAGTGATCCTCCCACCTCCCACCTCAGCCTCCCTGGTAGCTGGGACTACAGGTGCATGCCACCATTTCTTCATTTTTTGTACCCATAGAGTTTCACCATGTTGCCCAGGCTGATCATGAACTCCTGGGCTCAAGCAATCTGCCTGCCTTGGCCTCCCGAAGTGCTGGGATTATAGGGCTGAGCCACCACCCCTGGCCTAAGGTTTTAAAACTCTCTTAGTGGGCTGCTATGGCCTGAATGTTTGTCCCCCAGGAAATTTATATGTTGAAATTATAATCACCAAAGTGACAGTATTAGAAGCTGGAGTCTTTGGGAGGGGATTAGAGATTATGACCCTTATAAAAGAAACTGCAGAGAGCTGGCTAGCTCCTTCCATCATGAGATCACAAGAAGTCTGCAGCCTGCAACTAGAAGAGCACTCTCACCAAAACCTTATCAGGCTGGCACCCCAATCTTGGAATCCCCAGCCTCCTGAACTGGGAGAAATAAATTTCTATTGGTTTTTTGTTTCTTTTTGAGATAGAGTCTCACTCTGTCCCCCAGGCTGGAGTGCAATGGCATGATCTCGGCTCACTGCAACCTCCGCCTCCCAGGTTCAAGTGATTCTCCTGCCTCAGCCTCCCAAGTAGCAGGATTACAGGCACACACCCAGATAATTTTTGCATTTTTAGTAGAGGCGGGGTTTCACCATGTTGGTCAGGCTGGTCTTGAACTCCTGACCTTGTGATCCACCTGCTTCATCCCCTCAAAGTGCTAGGATTACAGGTGTGAGCCACCATGCCCGGCCAATTTCTACTGTGTATAAGCCACCCAGTTGAAGGTATTTTTAGTAGTCCAAATGGACTAATACAATGGGGTAAGCCAAGACTAAAAAGTTTGTTTTGTTTGGAGCATGAAGCCCTTAGAGTGGGATTAGTGCCCTTATGAAATAGACCCAGAGAGCTCCCTCATGCCTTCCATCATGTGAGGATGCAGCAGGAAGATGGACATCTTTAAACCAGGAATTGGACCCTCACCAGACACCAAACCTCGTCAGTGCCTTGAAGGCAGCCTCCAGAACTGTGAGAAATAAATTCCTGTTGTTTATGCCACCCAGTCCATGGTATTCTGTTACAGCCACAAGAGAAGACCAAGATACCCACTTCCCACGCTAAATACAACTTAACTTTTATTTGGGTTATAAATAACTATATATTGAGTTGACTTGTAAATGACTGCTGACATCAAGTTATGTCTTACAGGTATTTGATTGGTTAAATATACATTAACTTAGATTTTGCTTTTTTCTTTTAGTATTCTAAGAAGCCAATAAAAACTTTCTTTCTGATTTTAGACATATTTTTGGGCCACTGAAAAGCTCAAAGTCCCAAGGCTCAAGGTTCCTAATTCCTCAGGATTCACCAAGCCTGCATCCTCCAGGGCTGAATCAGGAAAGAAGTCACAGAGTGGAAGAGACTGAAGAAAAATGAGGAGAAATTTGTCAGGACACTTAAGAAGCCACGGATTCTGATAGACAAGGAGCTCCTACAAACTAGTCAGAAGAGGATAGTTAACCCAAGTTTTTTTAACAGCAAATTAAATAAGCAATTCAAAGAAAAGAAAGATGCAAAAGGTTAAAGAGCACATTAAAAAGGTGTCTGGGAAATACCCATTTTTAACATAGCAGATTGGCAAAAATGTAAAGATGATTAACACCGAAAGCTGAGGAGGATGTGGAGAAACAGCCTCTGCGAGAGCTGCCAGGTGGGGAGTGAACTGCTTACAACTTTTGCAGAAGGCTCTCTGACAGACTCCACTAGGACTAGAATCTACCCTCCCTCCCCTGGAACACTCTCACTGCTGGTGTCCAGAGGGCTGTCTCCCCTAGTCGCGTTGTCTCAGCTTAGTTTACCTCCTTAACGAGGCCTTTCCTCTACTCTGGCATGGCTTTATTTTTCTCAGAAACTTTATCTCTAATTGCAATTTCCTATTTCACCTATTGCTTTCCCTGTTTATAGATGACCTCCCACCACTACAACATAAACTTCTGGAAAGCTTGGAGCAACTCTCTTTTGTTCACCTCCTTACCCCCAGCTCTACGGAGCCTGTAGGAACGTTATTATTATTGTTGTTGTTGTTGTTGTTGTTGTTGTTGTTATTATTATTATTATTTTGAGACAGAGTTTCACTCTGTTGACCAGGCTGGAGTGCAGTGGTGCAATCTCGGCTCACTGCAACCTCCGCCTCCCAGGTTCAAGCAATTTTCCTGCCTCAGCCTCCCAAGTAGCTGGGACAATAGGCACATGCCACCATGCCCAGCTAATTTTTTGTATTTTTAATGGAGATGGGGTTTCACCATATTGGCCAGGCTGTTCTTGAACTCCTGACCTCATGATCTGCCCGCCTTGGCCTCCCAAAGTTCTGGGATTACAGGTGTGAAACACTGTGCCCAGTCAAGCAGCATTATTTTAATGACAAACACTGGAAACATGCTGAACGTCCACCCACAGGGGAAATGATTGAATAAATCATGATACACCCACACTACAGAATATTATGAAGCTCTGTACTAACCTGGGGGGGGGGGGAAATGCCCATAATATGTTGTTTTACGGATAAAGCAATTTATAATACACCTATATTTAGTGTCATGTTTATTGAAAAGGAAGAAAAAAACACATGGTCAAATATATTTATGTTCAAATAAGCACAGAGAAAGGAGGTGTGAAAAACACTCAACTATTATTACTGAGGGCTCCAGGGGTGTGACCGCATTGGAGGAGACAAAAGGATTCACTTTTACAGTAAGCATATATTTTGTCAATTTTTTTTAATTATTTGAAAAGAACTCTTGGTCTTAAAAATATTAAAGTATTATACTAAAAATGATGTTTATGTTATGCTTATTTCATCTGCCAGAGTTAGGAAGGCTGACAATTTTAAGAATTCCACTGGACTTGTCTGCGGCCAGCCTTCTGGTCTAACAGCCATTCCCATTCAATGTGCTAAAAAGCCAAAATTATTCTAACACACAGTAGCCAAAATGCTTTGCCGTTCAATAAAGATAGTGTTTCCCACTGGGGGATCGAGAAATGGTTTGAAACCCTTTTCAATAGGCCACTGAGAGCTCAACCTGAAGCTGCCCAGGAAAAAGAGAAGAAGAAAGAGGGCACAGGGCCTAGGAGCCAGGCCAGCACCTGCGGCCTGGGCTTCCTGGGGTGCCTGTCAGATTACTAAGGCAGCTGCCAGCTGGCTGGTTCACCCACAAACACCAGTTGGCTGAAGCCTGGGAAGTGATATCTTGAAGGCCTAAGGCCCTAAATCAAATGTCCTTGTCTATGCTAACAGCAACCTATAAGGAAAATCTTATCACAAAACAAGCAGCTCTCAGGCATGTCAAGGATTTTAAAAATTAAGCTGATCAAGTGATAAAAGCTGTGAATAAAAGGATTCAGATATTTCCACCTCACCATGCTAATCTACCTGTAAGCTACTCAATCAACCACACACACACACAAAAAAAAATATGAATCAGACAGGCTTTTGAGCAGCTCAGTTGCCCCACTGCAGCATAGAGCACAGCACTTGACACCAGCCAACCAAATGACTGAATGAATGAATGAGAATTGTCAAGTCCATGTGGACATCACTAAGGGGACCTGGCATTTAGAAGTCGGGTTCCTGTTCTCACTGAGACATTAACTAGTTAGGTAATTGAATCAGGGAAGTTAGTGAAAATTCTCTCAGCCTCAGTTTCCTTATCTATAAAATGGGAATAACTGTACCTATGTCCCAGGATTGCTCTGAGGCACAAGTGAGGGTTGCTATGAAAGCCTATGGCAGACTGAGATGACCTCCCTTCAAATAAGGCCTTGCTGCCCAGTGGTCAGCACATGCCCTCCAGCTGCCAGCTCCTTCAGGGTCTGCCCCTGCTGCAGAGAGCCACCTCACCTGAGATCACACCCTTTCTGTGACAACCTGCCTATAACTGAGAAGTAGGGATGTAAAGGACCCATGATGGTCCAAAGCAAGACATAGTGACTGCAAACACTCACTCCAGGGCTTCCTGCCAGGTGTGCTGAGGCCTTTTCAACTTCTCCCTCGGCCCAGTCCTGCATCCTTCACTTCCTACATGTTGGTCCCTAACAAGCATTTGACACCCCAAATTCTAACTTAGCATCTTCTAGAGAACTCAACGTGCACCAAAGTCCTTTTTCAGTTTTAAGTACTTTAGGGTTTCTATAATAAGACAAAGAACAGAGACCAATTCTGGTTTAGAAAAAAGAAAATCACACCCAGCCCAGCATGGTGGCTTATACCTTGGAATCTTAGCACTCTGAGAGGTCTAAGTGTAAGGATTTCTTGTGGCTAGAAGTTCGAGATCAGCCTGGGCAACACAGAGAGACTTGATCTCTATGGAGAAAAAAATACAAAAATTAACCAGGTGTGGTGGCATGCACCTGTAGTCCCAGCTACTTGGAAGGCTGTGGTGGGAGGATTGCTTGAATCTGACAATTTTAAATGTTGAGACTGCAGTGAGCTGTGATTATACCACTGCACTCCAGCCTGAGTGACAGATTGAGACTTTGTCTCTCTCTCTCCTTTTATTTTTTTTTATTTTTTTTTCTTTCAGCCTTCAGATGTTCAGTCATCCTTATGATCTCCTTCCTTCCTCCCTCCCTCCCTCCCTCCACCTTCCTGCCTTCTGGCCTTACTGCCTTCCTTCCTTCTTCTCCCTCTGTTCCTCTCCTTCCTTCCTTCCTTCTTTCCTTCCTTCCTTCCATCCTTCCTCCCTCCCTCCCTCCCTCCTTCCTTCCTTTCTTTCCTTCCTTCCTTCTTTCCTTCCTTCCTTCTTTCCTTCCTTCCTTCTTTCCTTCCTTCCTTCTTTCCTTCCTTCCTTCCATCCTTCCTCCCTCCCTCCTTCCTTTCTTTCCTTCCTTCCTTCTTTCCTTCCTCCCTTATTTTTTTTTTGAGACAGAGTCTCGCTGTGTTACCCAGGCTGGAGTGCAGTGGTATAATCACAGCTCACTGCAGTCTCAACCTCCAGGCTCAAGCAATCCTCCTACCTCAGCCTCCTAAGTAGCTGAGACTGCAAGTACATGCCATCATACCTGACTAATATTTGGATTTTTTATAGAGACAAGTTCTCACTATGTTGCTCAGGCTGGCCTTGAACTCCTGGGTTCAAGAGCTCCTCCCACTTTGGCCACCCAAAATGCTGTGATCACAGGCATGAGCCACCATGCCCACATGACCCAGTCTCTTTAAAAAAAAAAAACAAAACACAAGACACACTCATAAACTTTTAGAAGCAGGGATCCATGCCATTTACTTCAAGTATTCATTTATTTATTTAACAAATATGTACAGAACACCATGTTGCAGGGGCAGGCAACCTGTTGGAGGCCACAAGAATTCTGTACTGATGATCATTTAGGACTACTGGATTTTCAGTGTCCACAGCAGTGGTTCTCAGTGGGGTGGCACTTCCCCTAAAGGCTTTGGAACTGCGTTGGGGGCTTTTGGTTGTTACAATGGTTGCAGGGCTCTGCTGGCATATGGGGCGTGGAGTGGGAGCAGGAATACTCCCGTCCTACAATGCTCCAGAAAAATCTCTTTTGATGATGGATTGGCCCACATCCCAAATGATTTTCATAAAAGAGGGGGAAAGAGTTTATATAATTATCTAAATCTAGATCTTAAAACTATACATTTCATTAAAATACGTTGTTTAGTTTTAAACACACTGAATTCTCTAGGAATTTGATTACCCTATAAATCAAGGGAAGGAGGTAATGTATTTTGTACAGAACTGTACCAGCCGGGTGCGGTGGCTCACACCTGTAATCCCAGCACTTTGGGAGGCCAAGGCGGGCAGACCATCTGAGGTCAGGAGTTTGAGATCAGCTTAGCCAACATGGTGAAACCCCATCTCTAGTAAAAATACAAAATTAGCCAGGTGTGGTGGTGCATGCCTATAATCCCAGCTACTCAGGAGGGTGAGGCAGGAGAATCACTTGAACCCAAGAGGCAGAGGTTGCAGTGAGCCAAGATCATGCCACTGCACTCCAGCCTAAGCAAAAAGAGTAAAACTCAGTCTCAAAAAAAAAAAAAACTTTATCAAGAGTTTTTATTCCATCTCTAAAAATGACGACTCTTACAGAAATGTCATTCATGATTAATGAGACATCTCTATAACACACCTGTATTGGTCTATATTTATAGTTGTCATATTCTTAGTGATATGCAAGAAAATACTTTTTTGCCCTTATTTCTAGGGTTATATATAAGAGTACTAATATGTAACTGAAATTTTTCAGCTAAACATTTCTTAAATACAAACTATGAGCAAAAATGTAACTATTTTATTATGTCAACATAACTGTGCACATACTGAAATACATGCTACATTATAAATTATTTTCATGTCATTTCTCCTTTATAATATAATTTAGAGTCTTATGTTGATTTCTTTTTAAATATTGTGTGTGAGTTCTATTATCTGTGAGTTTCCATTTTAGGAAGTAAAGAGGATGTTACAAAATACGTAAGAGAGGATGCTGGGTTTGACAAAATTGGAAACCACTGCCTTATAGAACTGATTCTAAAACTGGGGTCTGAGGCCTACCCACAGCAGAAACGCCTGTAGCATTCATGAAAAATCCAGGTGCCTAGGCTCCAGACTGACTCATAAGGATGCTCTCTGGGGCTAGAACCCATCTATTTTTCAAAGTTCCTAAAGTGATGTTGATCCTTATCTAGGTTTGGTACCCACAAGTACAGAGGACACAGGGTGCACCAAGCCCTTCCCTAGCCTAGAGGTGCTTAGAGTCTCAAAGGGGAAGGTAAAATTTTAACCATCATATCAGGCACATAACTGTTTAGTGCTAGAAAGAGATACCAATGAAGCGCTATGGGAATTCAAGAAGGGAGAAGCTGTCCTAGAGGAGGTGCCTTGCAAAGGGTGCATTCTAGCGATGATCTGGAAGATGGAGTAAGAGTCTCAGCTCTGGAGAGTGTGACTGCAGAAGCCGTTACATACATTACCTCCATCAAAATCCACAGCTACCCTCTGGGGAAAATACCACTCCTATCCAGTCTTGCAGAATAATGAGGCCTAAAGAAGCCAAGTAATTTCACTCAAGGTTTTAAACATAGGTCCTGCCATCCCAGATGATAGTGCTTAACCACCCAGTTAATACTCAAGCCTTAGCCAATGGAAAAGTGGTAGGGGTGGTATGGAAGAGGTCCCAAGGAGTTTCAAGACACAGAATGTCTATCCAAAGCTTCACTTCTATCTTGCTAATAGCACTGTCACCAGCATTCAGGAAGACAAGAGGAAATCATCATAATTAGAAGGGACTCTAAGCATATATCATTCACATATGGCTGGAAAGACTCAGGGATGAGAATAGGCAGTTAGGAGTCACTGACGCTAATGAGCCACAAATCATAGAAAAGTAACTTAATTGAGACAACAGCAAAATGAGAGGAGGCTCAGAATTAGGAGCTCTCACACTGCTTCCACAGTTCTAGTGACAGCATAAAGCAGTTTCCGCTTAATCAACTTCCACCTAATCAGAGAGCCATCTTAACACAGCATCTCCGGGGGCAGCAAATTAGCTAATAGTGAGTGACTGCGGCAATCAGGGCAGTATGGGTGGGGAGGGGAGGGATTGAAATATGCTAGGAAGAAAGGCAATTGGCTGGTGCTAAGGGGTTCAGTGGTGTTTAACTGCCTGTTAAATTGCAAAATGCTAAGCTTCTATGTTCTATTGCAGAAAAGTCAACAATGAATAGAAATAAAGATGAAATGCATCAGATTCTGTTTTTTATTCTGCATCCTAAATGTACATCCAGGTAGTTACAAAACTTACTTTTTGTTTGTTTTGAGACAGGGTCTTGCTCTGTCGCCCAGGCTGGAATACAGTGGTGTGATCTTGGCTCACTACAACCTCCACCTCCTGGGTTCAAGCAATTCTCCTGCCTCAGCCTCTCAAGTAGCTGCGACTATAGGCACATGCCATCACATCCAGTTAATTTTTGTATTTTTAGTAGAAACAGGGTTTCACCATGTTGGCCAGGCTGGTCTTGAACTCCTGGCCTCAAGTGATCCATCCACCTCAGCCTCCCAAACTGCTGGGATTGCAGGCGTGTGCCACTGCGCCCTGCCACAAAACTTACTTTTATCCCTATAAAGGGAAAAATGGAGGATTTTACATCCATGTCGCAGGCCACATGCCCCCAGCTTTTATTGACAGTAAAACCAAAAGATCTCTCTACCCACTTTCTCTTCCCCACCACCTCTTTCCTTTCTCTCTTTGTGACATGTAGGTGACCAGCAAGCAAGTGCTTCCAATCTCCGAGGCAGAGACTTTTGGCTTTGGAAACATTTGGAGCAGAAACAGGTGGTGTGGTCTGGAGCAAACATGCAAGAGAAGAAAATACCAAAAAGAGAAGAATCCCTCCACATGGAATTCTCATTTGCATTTTGTGCAGTCAGCAGTTCTCCAGTTTTTCCACATCCTTTCAAAGGTTAGGTTCTCATGTGTTGTGAGTAGGTCAGACTAAGCGGGTTTTTTCTTATGGTTTCAGGCTGGATATTTCATAACCACATGATTGCAGGGCTGAGCTTAGCAGTGCTGTATTTAAGAGTGGATCACATATCCATCATTTAGTCCACATTTCAAAGACTAGTAAAATATTGCCCCTGAGGATTTAAGAGATGCAGGTGATAGAACATTTCCCTCTCCCAACTAATAAAACTGTGAGGGTCAGTTCCTCATACAATACCAGGGAGCCCACCGGTACACAATAAAAAGTCATTTGTCCCTGGAAGGTGGCCTGAGAAACCGTACCACACAGTCCAGGCAGTGAACAAGCCATTGATTCTCTATGTACATTATGGTTAGATCTTTCATCCTAAAACACCACTTGGCACACATCACAACCCCTGATCAAAAGTGTTCATGGCTCCCCATGGTCACCAGATAAACCCCAAAATCCTTAGAGTGTTTTCAGAGGCCTCCACAAACTAGCACTGTCCATTCTCTCCCATCCAGTCTCCTACTGCTGCCCATACACAAACACTCTGCTCTAGCCAAGCTGCTCGCTTCACTGTTCCTGGAAACCTTCTGCAAGCTTTCCTTTTTCTCTCTTCCCTTGTGGACCTCTGCTCCCAAATGCCCCCTTCCTCCTTCTTCCTAGTTTGTCCTACCATGAGGCATTTAAAAACCAGCTCAAATCCCATGTCCTCCATAAAGCCGCCTTTCAGAAAACTTCCTGCCTGGATGGGCTCGCTCTCCTGTACTTCCATAAGAGTCATCGGCTGGCACCCTACACAGATTGCCCTGCGTTGGGACTGATTTATTTCCATGCCTCCTGCCCCACCCAGTTGGACCGTGAAGCTCCTGGGTACAGTGTCTTGTCCTGGCTTCCCAGACTCTCACCTGTTCGCCTCACAGCAGATCCTCAGTAAAGCTTTGTTGCCATCATTTTTGAGCCTCCACTGCTATAAGAATTTGGTCCTCCCTAGTATTTATGGTTTATGAGACACTTCTGCCTTTAAACCACCATATCGCTTTCTGTCCAATCATTGCTCTCTCTTTAAGCCCAGGCGTGTGACAGGACTGCCAATTCACTCTGTCCCTAGTGCTGTCACATGCACCTAATGAGTGTTTAACAGAAGAATCCTAAGAGCTGATTGCAAGGTCAGAAAATCACCTTAAGTAGCCATGTGCAGTCTACAGACAGGAAATAGGCAACAGGAAAATGAAATTAGCATAAAGAAAAAGGGGTGGAGTCATAACACCCAAGTCATAACACCTACCAAAACAACAAAGAAAGCATCTGGATAGAGCGAGGGCAAGCATTGCCGAGATCGGGAAACTGTGCTCATAACAAAAAGCACAAAGGGTTTGCAAAAGGCAGCTCCCCTTCCCTTTCCAAATTACCAAAAGCTCAACAAGAAAACGAGCGGAGTTCTTGCTCTGAAAACATCTGTTTTCAGTTACCTGTGCCTGAACCACAAACTTAACAGAGAAACACAGAGATCCCAAGCTGACTCCACGGTCTAAGATCTGTCAGGACGAATTATGTGGAGATGGAGGAGCCAAGTGTGGGATGCCTGCGCAACCTCTGTGCAATAGCCATGGTCTTTTTTTTTTTTTTTTTTTTTGAGACGGAGTTTCGCTCTTGTTACCCAGGCTGGAGTGCAATGGCGCGATCTCGGCTCACCGCAACCTCCGCCTCCTGGGTTCAGGCAATTCTCCTGCCTCAGCCTCCTGAGTAGCTGGGACTACAGACACGCGCCACCATGCCCAGCTAATAAGCCTTGCCGATGAGATTTGGGTGGACTAGGAATTGTACTACTGAACTTGATTGCTGAAAAAGTAAAAGCCACCAAGGGGTATCATTATCCCTTGATAAATCCAGCTACCCACAGTGGTCAATTACTAATGAACAGATCCCTTTCACCAATTAAAGCCACATGTTACCACTCAATTCCCAACATATTTAGTCTTTTCCTTCCAGTACTACAGGTCACTACTGTCTACTAAACCTCTCCAGCTGATTCTGCTTGTCTTTACTTCAACAACAGTCCTTCTGGGGCCTCATCAGTGGGGCCCCAAAAAATAATTGTTTTAAGGAAAAAAACAATCTTTCACTAGAATGTTCTTTATAGTAAACTGTTAAGCTCTACATTTTTTTTTTAAATAGGGTCTTGCTCTGTTAACCTGCCAGAGTCCTGAGTGACCTTCATTTGTTCATTCTCTTTGTGCAGTTCTTCAATGTTCTTTGCAAATGGATTTCACTAAAGTGAGGTCTGTCTATTAATGTCACTAGGTATAAATGTCTGTTCATCTTTGAAGGGACTTTGGGAGATGATCTTTTACCAAATAAACATGTTACATGCCTGTTGATAGGAGGCCTGATGCTTTATTTCCTCTAGAAAAAATATAGATATTTCAATATTGTAAATTCCATTAAGGTACCCTGCTCCCTACCTCCGAATCCTCCATCTCCCACCCCCCACCACCAACAGGCTCTAGTTTCCCAAACCCCTCAATCTGGCAAAGAGACAACGTACCAGACCTTTTTGGTAGGTAGTTGTCCAACTCCCTATCTCTTTTCTTCTTGGCAAAATGGGAGTAACTTAGCTTAACTAAAACTGAAAGAACATTGTCAGTCCTTGTATAAGGCATAAGTCCCTGAGTAATTTACATCACATTTCTCTTTTGGGCCTGGTAATTTCCAAAATTGGAGTAAAGTACCTCTTTTGATGAATCTATCAGCAGATGTGTTTGGAAAAAGAGGAAATGATGTTGCTAACTTGCTAACTGTATTTTGGCAGATAATGTAATAGGGTGTAGTTTACTGGTATTTCCTCTATTAAAGGAATACAAAATTTTCCCTTAGAATTAAAAATTTATAAATTATCTTAAAATCCTCCCAGAAATTTTAAACTGCTGTTTTCTTGCTTATAACTTTCCCTCATTTTCTTCTCAGCAGTGGAAGATAATTTAAAATCTTGTTTAAATCCACAGTGAACTTTTTATATTGTAAGCCTGATTGGTAGGTTTTAATGTGAAATCAGCATTCTGTCTAAAGCCATGTAAGATGATTCTGGTATAAATATGGTAACTACAATGTCTACTGTGTTTTCCCATTAAGTTTTTGTTTTGTTTTGTTTTGTTTTACTTGGAGCCTTTAAAGAAAGAAGATTAAAAGGCTTGGTGGTGTATATGTGTCTTGAATGCTAGACTGAGAAGTTTATTGTAACCGCTTGGTGGGAGGCGGTATGTGTTTAAGTGTTTGAGGATGAGCCTGGCATTTGGATATAAGGTAGTTCAGTTTAGAGAGCTCCAGCTGGGGCTGCTGGACTGGTTTTGATGTGGTGTGATGAGGACCTGGGAGTCCATTGCCGATCTGAGGGCCACTCTGGGATGTTAACAGGTGAAACATAGAAGATCCATGAAGTTGGGAATTTTACTTTTTTGAGACAAGGTCTTTCACTACTAGAGTGTTCTTTATATTAAAATCTTAAGCCCTTTAGGCTGGCTGTGGTGGCTCACACTTGTAATCCCAGCTCTTTGGGAGGCTGAGGCAAGATCACCTGAGTCCAGGAGTTCGGGACCAGCCTGGCCAACAGGTCAAAACCCCATCTCTACTGAAAACACAAAAATTAGCCAGCATGATGGCATGCGCCTGTAATCCCAGCTACTCAGGAGGCTGAGGCAGGAGGATCATTTGAACCTGGGAGGTGTACTCTCTAACTTAGTAAACAAAGAGTATACTGTTATGAATTAAAAATATAGCAGCTTCTGGATTATTACTTGGCCAGTGAACTAGTGGTATTCTATATCTGTTCAGAAATTTGTATTTTATAATTCCTTTAGAAGAGTCCCTGGAAGATTTTTTAAGAGAAGAAAACATCATAGGAATGCTTTTTTAGATGTGTATATTTGTATAAGCTTCTAAGCCTCACTTAGATTCTCCTGGACCCACAGGATAGGTTAGTTTCTCCCACCAGGACATGGAGGCTGAAGAGAGAAGTTGATGTCTCTGAGCTTGGTTACTCTTGTCCAGCACAAGACAAGTGACACCATACAGTACTGGCTATATTTTATTATAGTGAGATCTATTATATTTTTTAAAGCCCATTATGATAAAAATCCCTAGAGACAAACACAATGTAATGCAATTCATTTTGAACCAATAAATATTTATTGAGTCCTATAAACCTTCATGCCAGTCTCTGGGCAGAGCCCCTGGAAACATCTTTTAATACCTGCTCTACTGAAATCTCAATATGAATCTCCATAGAAAGCAATTTCTATATAAAGCAATTCCATACGTTTCTATAAAAACAATTCAAGTAAACAGTAGTGAAACAAATGCTGGCATAATATGTCTCTTTAAATACAATAAGTATTTAATGTTTCTTTATAAAATAATCACATCCTTAATAGAAACAGAACTGTCAAAAGCATGACAAACTAAGTACCTGGATGACAGTAATGATTAAACAAATATACACTTTAATAATTTAAGGTGATGGGTTTTTTTTTTTTTTTTTTACGAAAGTTTAATGTGCTAATGAATCATTGGGATCCCTGTTACCAAAGTGAATTTTTAAAATTACACTTTCCCTCTTGCAATCATGTTTGCAGCATTAAAGGAGCAATAATGTGGGGGAAGTAAAGCTTGGGAACTGTTTTATGTTAGGCTTGAGTAGGCTAAGGCAATGTCTGATAAAGGAGGGGTTTGAATTTTGGTACGGAGGGCTTTCCAACACAGCACTATTTTAAAGAATAGCTCAGTGATATCAGTGTTGGCTTACTTAACTAGTCACCAGGTACCAGATATAGAGAGATTGTGTAGAAGAATGAACACTGTTAACTACTCTCTCTCCTCCCCTTTTGCAGGATCTATCTGTGGACAGGGTGCTGACCCCTAATTTACTAAAACAAAAGGAATATTGTTCTTGGGAATATTTATGAGGCATATTGCATCTTCTCCATATTATGGGTAAGATGGACAGACATCTAAACCTAGTGACATTAACAGACATAACTCACTTTAGTGAAATCCATTTGCAAAGAACACTGAAGAACTGCATAAGGAGATAAAGAAATGAGGGTCACTCCGGCCTCTGGCAGGCTAACAGGATTTTTCTGGATTTTCCCTGCAATCCCTATCATCCCTCAGGACATTCATGTTCTATGACCAGGTCCAAGTTGCCTCACCATGAAAATCATACAATGGAGGCCTTTTCCCAATCCTTAGAAGGAAAAAAAACTACATACATGTGACACATACTTTTTCCATTCATTTCTCCAAACCCATAGCACATACTACCACATGGTCAAACAAGAACTCACAGCAACAGAGAGTCAAATACATACATACACACACACACACACACACATATACACACAAATTTGTGTGTTTAAACAAAATTCTAGAAATATGACTCATTAAAATTTTTACATTATTAGAGCCAGGTGCGGTGGCTCACACCTATAATCCCAATACTTTGGCAGGCTGAGGCGGGCTGATTGCTTGAAGCCAGGAGTTCGAGACCAGCCAGGCCAACAGCGAAACCCCATCTCTATCAAAAATACAAAAATTAGCCAGATGTGGTACGTGCCTGTAATCCCAGCTACTGGGGAGGCTGGGCCACAAGAATTGCTTGAATCTGGGAGGCAGAGGTTGCAGTGAGCCGAGACTGCGCCACTGCACTCCAGCCTAGGCGACAGAGCAAGACTCTGTCTTAAAAAGTTAATTTTTTTACATTATTCAATGTTAAGCTATAAAGACCTTCACTATTTACAACTAAAATATATCTTCTGCTTGTTAAGATAACAGAAACAGTGACAGCCCTCTCTCAGATGACAAAAATAGTGATAGCCCAATTTTGTGACACTCTGAGCAACATGTACCTCGAAGGCTCCCTAAGGGATGTTCCCTCTGAGGAAGTTAAAAGTATCACCCACTAGTCTGTACTTCAAACCCTCAGCCCACCCACATCACATTCTGCAGGAAGTGATGAAAAGTCAGGGAGTTTAGGTTACATAAGGACTGTGGAGCCGGTGAGCCATACTGCAAAATGTCCATCAGTGAGCTCCACAACCTCCCCCCCCCACAACCCACTGCAGGAAAGTGGCTTGGATGAGGCAGCCAAAAATTAGTCACTGAAACATGTCTGATGCCATAAAACGCTACCTGTGATACCCAGCTCCCAAACGCTTTTCTTCTGGGTTCTGACCAGACACAGCAGCCTGCCTGTGATGGAGCAACTGGAGGAAACAGGTTCCAGGTGTGGGAAGCCATGGGTTAAAAAGCAACTTGCCAAACTGGGAAATATTCTAGTTGATCCTGAAGCCTTAATGCTTGGCTCTAATGGGGTAGTAACTCCATTTCCTCATAAACATGCTAAGTAGATTTCTACTTTCTCAAGAAGCTAAATCCTTTTGTGGCTTTATGACTTACTTCTACAACCAAGAGCCTCTTAAGCTATTAACAGCCAAGTGTCACAGCCTTAAAGACTTGCACTGTTTGCTAGTCTCAGGCATACCCCCAATCACAAATTCCTGCAAAATAAACCTTCGTTAGTCAGACTGCAGAAAAACAAAAAGGAAAGAAAACATAAAAC